CACTATTAATATGCCTGCATTTTGCCATTAAGTGGTCATGTACAATAAGGGAAATGATACTGTAGTGGCGGAAATTTTGTCACCACAATTTCAGTGCTTGTTTCGTTGTAACATCTAATTTTCCTATTGGCATACTGTGTGGACAGAAGCATCACAACGCTGTTTTCACATATGTTATGCCTGTTATTTTTAGCAGCAGAGGGCTTATTGTATTATGTCATGGTTTTGAAATAATGTAAACCTGTCGCTCGTGTGAATGACAGAAGCAGCTATCATCACTGGTACAGCTCAGGTAATTTATTTGCTCAGTGTTACCGAATGTATGTGAGAACGCATCTACACACTAGATGTAGGAGATGCCATTGCAATGTCAGATATGATGTAACTCTGCTCTATATGATAAATCGTCACAAAGAGAAAAAATGATTCAGGATCGGAAGCTAACCTTGTCACTGGCTACACTTGCTGAAACAATACAAAATACCTTTCTGAAGAGCTTCCACCTAAAAACCAGTTTAAAAAAAGAAACGAACTACTAGTACTAGTAGTACCTTGCATACCAAACTGACCCACCACAGATATAGAAGTATATTTGCCTTGTGAGTGGTATAGATTACCCTGGGGCAAAGTGTTTCAGTGTCCTGACAGATTTCTAAAGCAGTTCACAGAAGAACTACCAAAGGCCTCTGAAAAATACCCCATGAATACTGCTCTTTACAGCATAATAATTTGTCATTTATTGAGTAGAAATTAAGAGGATCTGTAACCTTTTGTAATGACTGTAGTATTACTGTATTACATTTTCTTGGAGAGTGAGCAAGCATGTCCATCTGCAGTACATTTTATGACAGTGGAAATAAGTTTTCAGTGATTTAAGTTTTTTTTTTACCTGTCGAGTCCCATTGTTTTGTCACACATGTGCAGCTTAGTGAACAATACATGTACATTTGTACATTTAAGAGTTACTGGTCGCTGTAATTGTTCCTCCTAGGGTGACCAGACGTCCCGAAAAATTCAAATTACGAGCAGTTGTCCCGACTCCTGTCCGGTTTGTACCGAAAATTAGACTTAACATGGGTTTTAATTATAGCCTAATTAATCATTAAATACTGATCGTTCTGTAGTTCTCTTGCTTCAGCAGGGGTTGTAGGTTATCTGTACATTGTGTCAACAGCATTGTTCTAGCCACAAAGTAACTCTTTTCCCTTTTTCTTTTCTTGTGGTTCGTGGAAGTTACAGTCGAGAGGACAGGGAAAGTGTAGCTCTCAGCCACGGCGGAGAGATCTTCAATCCATTTCAGTTTTATTTATTTAGCACCAAAAGATTTGCTGTGTCTTTGTCATTATTGGATGGTAAAGGGAATAAGTTGAGTTTGAACTATTGGTCAGACAAAACACATTTTTCACTGGTTTCTATTTTAGATTATTATTCAGTCATTGTTATTATTAAAGGAAGAAAGAGGAAATAATCCTCTGATTAATCAATAATGAAAAATAGGGTTTGTTGCAGCCCTAGTAATAACAGACTAAAGCAGATGCTTTGACAACACTTATCAATAATAATTATTTTACTGTGAAGGCTACACTGACATCTCTCCCCACCCTTCTATCTGCAGTGGAGCAGAGGACAAGCACGGCTACATCTGGGACCGACACTACAACATCTGTCTGGCACGTCTGGCACACGACGATGTGGTGAACTCGGTGGCATTCAGCCCCGCTGACCAGGAGCTACTGCTGTCTGCTAGCGATGACTCTACCATTAAGGTGTGGCGCTCACCTCACATGATCCGCCTGGCGCAGTGCCCCGCCCGGCCACCGAGGCCCCGCAGCCTGCTGCCGTCCTGGCTGAGCCGCAACAAGAACTCTTCCAGCAGAGTCAATGGAAAACCATGAGTCAGGTTGGGAAACACTTGGGAGGGAGCAAGGGGAGGAAAGTTTGATCTGTTTCCTCTGTGGTGTGTATGTGTGTGTGTATGTGTGTGTATTTATGTATATATGTGTGTGTGTGTGTATATGTATAGATATATATATATATATACACACACATAAATACATTTACACACTACACTCCATCTATATGTACAGTGTGGTTACATTCAGTGGTTTTGCTTGAGCTCACGGTGTTGTGATACACAGACGTGTTCAGTGTCTTACCTAGTCTGTAGGTTTAGACACAAGAGAGCGCCGTTGCTCCAGAAAAGGACAGAAATCACCACAGCCTCTGTTGTGCTGTTCACAAGAGTGACATGAAATGTTATCACAGATAAAGATAGTGTAGAGCTAATCCGTTAATGCACAAGACAGACATCCAAACATGTTCCCTAAGAGATGGTTTCTGTCTGTTTATATCTGTAATGTTGCGTCTTAACAGGCCAGACACTGGACTCCTGGATCTGAGGTGTAAATGTATTTAAATGTACTGCAGAGACGGCACCTTAAGATCGCTGTTGTCATGTCCTGCTCATCAAAGTGCTGTAACTGAGTCATTTCAGAGATGTCTTTTCTTACTTATATATATCCAATTGATGTCTTGAGTATAAACACATCCATACACCTTGTTTTCAGAGAATTACAAAAACCCACTACATTGGTACATTGTGCAACTACATTGATACCCAAAAGGGAAGACAGCATTTAGCTATATTTACTGCAGTCTGCCTTGGTTTTTAAATACATCCCATCCCATTGTTTTTGTGCCCCAGAAATGATTCTTCACTATCCTATTCAACATAGAATTATTGAGTAATTTAATCTAGAAGAGTTGTTGAGGGACAGTTGGTGTGAAGACTGTGAAGAAAAAAAAAGTTGTTTGTGTAGCTAATCTTTATTTGGGCCTATATTTTGTAGAAATACATTTAAACACCTTTTATTCATCTGTAGCACAAAGCTGCACCTAAGAAAGTCAAGTCTCCTGGACTATTTTATTTTATTAAAAGAAAATTGATTTTCTTTCCAAGCAGCACTTCCCCACTTAAAGTCTACAATCCCAGTATGGAGTGTGGGGTACCTGGACATACAGACCTATGTACTGTACAGGAAGCTGCACCTTTCCTGTCAGCACGCAACCATCCTTTTAAAATCAGTCGTGAGATGTATTATTTTCTATTAAATAGTGTGCACAAGCATAGTTAAACTACTTATTTATATACTTTACATCCCCTTCAGGAGACATAGGGTATGATTTGATCAGTGTGATGAGGTTGAGGAGGTAGTCATTATTTTAACATGGCCCAAATGATTAAAATCTCTCTATCTCAGATATTCAGTAAATTGGCATTTTTATTCAAGTTGTAATTCTATTGAAAGAAGAGCTTGTACACAACAGTCAAGCAGTATTTAATTTGAGCAAGAACAATAAAGAAAAGCATCAATGTCATGGAGATTTCAAGTCACAGAAATGTCACCCGATTCTTTAATTTGCACATCATGTGTGTGTGTAGCACACCTTAAAAGTACCAGAGGATATCTTAACTTAAATGAATATAATAATTTGAAATGCTTATGCAGACCAAATTCAAGTCATAAAAAAGTATAAAGGACAGTATGACGATTAAAAACAAAAAACTAATTCTGCCTCAAGCCTGATCAACGCATCTGTGGTTTTGTTTTTGTTTTTTGGGTCCCAACAGTCTTTAAATGTTTCTGTGTACATGGGTTACCCCTTTACTTTTCATCATCCTGTAGTCCTCTTGGAGGTCCATTGCTCTTGGACTGGTCTCAAGTAAAACAAAAAGTAATACATAAGAAATGCCCATTTTTTCTAGTTTTACCAGCGTAAGGTTCAGGTACTTCACCTGGTAGATATTTGTGTTTCCTTGGAGATTCCCTGCTGAAGGTGTCTGATTGTATTTGCATGTCAAGGTTTCAGAGAAATCTGTGTGAATTAGTCACTTCATCAGCTGACCCTTGCTACCAATTGAACAATATCTCCCATGTTTTGAAATGTCTGTTGTAAGTCATGAACTTTCTGACACTTAAACACACTTAACACTCTCTTTCATTTCATGTCATGTCATTTCTACTTTAGCTCCATCTTTTTAATCATATTCCCTGTCCTCTAATGTTATTTTCATACTCCCCTGAAATAAAAAGCATGCCCTGAAAGGCCAGAATTCTGCAAAAGTGTTAGATTAATCTTTTTTTATATTTTTAAAATTCTTTTTGGGTCTCGGGCCAGTTTTGCGCAAATATTTTGAACAGTAATTTGATTGATTGAAAATGATTTTCATCAGACCTTGCACACCCAGTATTAATTTGTGTCCACAGGCCACATGAGAGAATTTGCTTTTTTGATTGTGAAGAAAGAAAAATAACCTCTCAGCGTTTAGACTGCCGCTACCAGTCTAGTGAGGGTTTTCTCATGTGGCCCTGGTCTGTCTGCTCCAACCGAACCGCACCATGCCAAACCATAGTGACTTGTCAAGTGTTTCATCTACTGCCTCACAACAGGGGATAGCCGTGATAGTGGTTAACATTCTAAATTCACATTTAAAACACTGTTCAGAGAATACCAATGCAGCAACAATGTCACTTCACAGCAACTGTTCCATATTGAGTCATTATCAGGTTTTACTCAGAAAGGTGACCGATTTCCTTTCCAGGAAATACGGTCTATGTGGTGATAATCTGGTGGTGACATCCTCTAAATTTAATTTATGGTTTAAAAGTCAAAATGGCTGTAATGCAATGGTTACCACTTTTAAAAGGTCAGTACACCCGAATCACAAAAAACACATTTTCACTCCTAATATTGATGTCAGGCACGGTTTTGGTTTAATTTACTCAGGTTTTCAGATTATTCAGGTTTGAGAAGCACTTAAAAATTTATTTTAAGAAGACTTTGAGTCTGTAGCCATGCTAGCAGATCTGAGGCTGCAAATACTAACACTAGCATGACAACATGTTTAAAATGACACGCTAACATGCTTATGTTTAGCAGGCAGAATATTTACCATCTTAGCTTAGCATGGTAGTATGCTAACATTTTTTAGTTAGCTCGAAACACAAAGTACAGCTGAGGCTGATGGGAATATCAGTTTTGGTGTAAATTTTGACCTGATGATGCTAGACAGGGGCTCACAATAGTTATTACAGTTAAACTTGAAGGGAACATAAATGTTTGTACCAAAGATCCTGGAAATTTGTTCAATTATTGTATATATTTCACAAAAGAAACCTCAAATATGAAACTCATGGTAGCACTAGAGGAAGTCAGGGAATTACCAAAGTCAGTTGGCGTTATCATCTTAGGACCACGAATTATGTACAAAATGTAATGGCAATGCATTCAATAGTTGTTGAAATATTTTATTCTGGTCTAAAGTGGTGGAGGGACTGGGGACAAACACTGTGGTTAAGACCAAATACCTGCACAACCAATGCCAATTACTTTCAGTTTCGTGCTAATAAGCAAACATCAGCATGCTAACATGTTCAACTAAGATGGTGAACATGGGGAAACATACCTGCTAAACATGTTAGCATGCTGATGTTAGCATTTAGCTCAGAGCACAGCCTCACAGAGCCGCTAGCGTGGCTGTAGAATCTTGTTTGGTGAAACTGGTGAACCTTCCGCTTTAGTAACATCTAAACACAGCAAATGTTTTTAGGTATTACATGAGTAACAATTCCTGAGCTTGGTCTTGTGATGACAATCTGGATGTATAACTTGAGCCTGAACCTCTGGAGGTCTGTGTGTGGGAAAGGGGTTTGAAACTAATCACTTTGGTTTCGGTCTCACCAAAACCTATCCCCAATCTGCATATACACAGCTGTGGACAAAAATGGGCGCTTTCAGTTCTGCAAGGGCATCCCAACTGTTGCTTAGTCCAGTTTTGTGGTGATAAAATAATCTGTGCAAACTATACATTTTTTCACTTCCTTGGCATAATTTGCACTAGACACAGCAATTTAGGATTTCACTTCCATAAAATAAGGGGATCCAACAAAAGTCAAAACTGATGCAACAGAGGCCTGAGACATCCTGACTTTTAGTCCCTAGCATGAGTCAAAATCCCAAAACACTGGATGTTACGTTTCCCATAATGCAACCAATAACACATTTTCATTAGACCCACACTGCCCGGTAAGTTCCCACATATTGAAACTCAATACCCCAATTTGTAACGCAGACTTTCTAGTGTAGTCTCCAAGCCCAACACTCAAGATAGTGTATTTTCTCTGACGTGATAAAACTCCCTCCATAACAACAGAAGAAACTGCACAGCTGTTTTCACGTGCTGAGTAATAACCCCTAATAACTATTATGACTTTTACAATTCCACTGTATATATTTTTTATTAATGTTTTGAAAAAATGATTGCACTTAACACATTTTGCAATAACAGGAAGTAAAGTAACAGTATATCATGTCCACATTCGAGACAACAAGCTAACAGCAGCACAAAGTACACCAACAACTGGGTTAACTGCCAGCCTGACAAACAGTTTTTTTTTTTTTTTGGTGACACAGCATTTGGTTATTTTCTACGACTTGCAGAGGTGACAGTTTCAATTGCTGCAGGCGGTTGATGAACTGGGTTGTGAAGTTACTCTATAGCAGAAAGCACCAGAAAGCCTCACAGGTCATAGAGACACGTAAAATCGCCTACTGTGGCCCACAGGGGAAAGTTATCACATTCACATGTGGCTATTTGAGAACGTCATAAGATAAACATATTAGCATGGTGAATGGCAATTAAAAGATACTCCAGTTCTTGGGGTATTTTTGATTTAAGCCATTTGTGACGTTGATCTTCACCTGATGACATCATATTGTTGTTTCACATTTACAATAAAGCTCATCTGTACTTTAAACTTAGTCTAAGCTGTGATGCTGCTGGCTGTAGGTACAAGATGCATCAAATGCCTTGGTTCAAAGTGGATTTATCTTCTTTAGTAGGGCTGCCTTTAATGATTTTTTTCATTATGGATGTCCAAAACCCCAAAGATTTTCAGTTTTCTGTTACATTAGACAAAAGGAAGCAGCACACCCTTACAACTGAGAAGCCAGAACTAGGAAAATAAACAGACTTGAATGATTAATCAAATTTCAAAATAGTCGCTATTTCATCAACTGATCTTTTCACAACATGAAACCACTGTATGAAAACCTTTGTTTTAGTATGTCTATTTCTTCATAGCTGTGAAGACTGCACCGTGCACTGAATTAAAACAACTGTAACAATTATTCCACATTTATTTATTTTTCATTGAAAATGTACTGATTATTTGTGCGTTAAAGGTTCAGTGTGTAGGTTTTAGTGGCATCTAGTGGTGAGGGCTGTGAATTGCAACCAGCGGCTCACGGTGCATTCACATACTCCTCAGATGTTCCCATTTCCCCGAGTTGTGAAGGTGTTCTTCCGACTACAGTGTGGGTTCATGTGCTCTTAAGTAAGAATGTGGAATCAATGTAGACGCTACTACAAAGATGTGTTGGATTAGCATTATCAGAGAGTATAAACAACACGCAGACATCTAGTTCACGCTACATGGACAGCAAACTAAGCGTTATAACCATACTACAAATTACATGTTTGCAAAATGTGTATGCAATACGTGATTTTGCATGAATCACAGTTCTGTATGCTTCTTTATTGCCCACGTACACTAAAGATAATGCACCGCTCACCCCTCCCTGTCCGAGCACCCAGGAGAAGCTACAAGAGCTGACACGCTCTGTTGGCTCTTGTGCTAAATACTATGTGTGGGCCTCCATTTGTCAAAATGTTTCTTCTTTTCTTACTTTTAAAAAAAACAGTCTACTACTACTTCTAGTACTACTAACGTTACTTGTTTTTCTTCTTCTTCGTAAGTATAGTACGAATCGTGTAGTGACAAAACTCATTCGGTAGCACCGTTTGTCCGTTCAGGCTATTGTAGAAACATGGCGGCGCCACATGGCGATGTCCAGGTGAGAGGACGTGTATGTAGATAGAAATGGCTCATTGTAAGGTAATAACAACATAACGGTTTGCTATATAAGGTCTTTATTCACCACTGAAAACACAGTTGTGTGTATGTATATTATATTGCATTTCGGTCAATATATCCTCTTAAATATTACACACTGAACATTTAAGGTTGAGTATACATGGCAAATTCCAAGTACCCCAATTAGATAACATAATCTATATTTAAGCACTTACATAAATAATACATTAAACAGTCAGGTTAGGTAGTAAGCATAATATCCATCAACACACACAAACACAATAAATTTGATGTATAAAACTGTTTAGGTTTGGGCTACAGCAGCTGATGGCAGAAAATGACTCATTTGCAATTGTATGATCTAACTGACTAAGAGTCATCCATATTATAAAAAGTGGCATGCTTCATCTATGTTTCAGTTGTTAATTAACCTGTTTTATTAAGAGTTAAGTTCAGCACCATGTGCTGTTCCAGGTAGCCGCAATGGTTCACGTGGTGCAGCGAGACACAATATCGTTGGATAACATGTCTCTCTATGAGGGGCAGTATTAAATGTTATGTGGTCATATTGATTGGGATTTAAATATATGTATTTACATATATTAATGAAAAGAATCATTTAAAACTTGTAAAGGGAGACGTTATGTTATTATTATTATTATTGTCATTATTTGACACATGCTAAACCACACAATGCAAAGCTGTGTATTATAATCATTATAATGGTTATGGGTAAAAGCGTCAGCTAAATGAATAAATGTAAATGTATAATATAAAAACCTATACAAATATTTGTATTATCTGTTATAAGATATAATTGATAAGATTTCAATCAAATGCAGAGAGGGTCACATTAGGATGTTCTTAATGTCACTAAAGCTCTTATTGCTTTATGCAAGTCTCCTTACCCCCTGCTGACAGCTGTCAGATGTTTGTATATGTGATGTAGCTACTGCCAAAAGTATTTAATATAAAAGACATTAAGAAAATAACAAATGGCCAAAGGTACATAAAGCACGGGTATGCCATGGCAGTGCTGTCTGTCCACTGGCTCTTAAAAGTCAGATGAATTTATTCACTAAACACCCTTGTACATCATGTCATAATGTGACACTCAAAAACATTTTGATGATCTTAATGTATAGTGTATATATAATAATATATATATATATAATAATCATAGTCACATACTATATTATAATATAGATAATCATATAGCTATATTTTTATTATTTATTTATGTACTCTATTTATTTATTATGTTTTTTTTCATTTGGGCTAACTTCCACAGTCTACACCCTATAAGCCTGTGAGATCCACAATGGCTTTAATGAAAATTGTATCATCTCTCAGATAGGGGCTCTTGCCAGCCAGTTTAGCCAGTGGACAGAACAGCGGGCAACCACTGGCGATGTTCATCTCACTGATTGGTCGCTGAAAGGAAGTCGAGGTGACGTCAGGGCGAAAAGCATCAATAATGTGCTCCCTGTTGTTCTGATCCAAGAGCATTAGAGTCACCTGGGGAAAGAGATGCAGTAGGGGTTTGTTTTGTGCCATTTATCGTGGCTATTGTGGCTTAAAATGGGTGTGGAAAGATCATTTACATGTCTTCCTACCTTCTGACTGAATGGCCATTTGAGCAGTGCATCACATTTGCCCCTCATGACGACAAAGAACAGAGAAAGGTGTGTTCCTCGACCCGTCCCATCGCCGTTCAAATACAGACGCAGACACATTTTGTATCCGTATTTGCTGGAATAAAACGCTGTGAGGAAGAAAAAGAAGAATCCAGAGTGTAAACAGAGCCTAAAAATTGTCATGTGAGAATAGGAGTTACACTTCCTGAAGGACAAATAGGGTGTAGTGATGTGGATTTTCCCCCCCGACTACATGCCAAGAGTCATGATCACACAACATCCTGACTCAAATTCAAAAATAACCTTTCAGCTTGAACATAAGATAAGCCACGTGCACAAAAGCATGAAATACATGATGGGTGGTGATTATGTCTTTCATCTCACCTGGAGAGAACATTGCAGGTGTTCGGCCGGCCACAGCGTCCTGTCTGCGGCGTGAGAAGTCAGAGATTCTCCAGACAGAGATCCCGTCGTACGTGCAGAACTGGAGTTCTTGCACCAGCTGTTCTGTTTCAGACAGCTGCAAGTCTCTCATGGTGAGCGTCCGCTCTAGCTGGCGCACTTTATTGGAGAGGTTTTCAATTTTTTCCTGGTCTAAACGATGCTGATGTGAGAAAGCCTCCAGCGTAACCGAACTGCGCTCCACCTCTCGGTTCAGAACACACACAATGTTTTCTAAAGCGTTCACCTGGTAAAAAAACAAACCAACAACAAATACATTTTAGATCCCCATTCAAAACATATAAACATTAACAAAGACCATTCAACCCATGGAGACTCACCTTTTTTTCCAAGTCCACATTCTGCACGGAGGCTGCAGCTCCAGAGCCAATAGTGACTCCCTCCTCAGGAGCCCTGTACAGGCCCAGACCAGAGTCCTCCTGCCACTCCCCAGGACCAGCACCGTCTGCACACGGCCGAGCCACGGACAACACCATGGACAGCAGCAGACGCAAGTGCTCCAAGGTGCTGCTGTGCTCATGGTCGCTGAGTTTCCCGTTCTCTACCTAAGTAACACAACACAGCTCATTTAACTTACTGCTGTAATGAGGGCTGACCTGAAAACTACAAGAGAAAACGTCTGTCGTGTATGGCAACATAAAATAATTTTTGACGTAACATGTTTGCCTGACTGGCCACTGAATTTGGGCACCTAACTGCCAAAAAGTAATAAATCTATCTATAAGAAAAAAAATAAGATGAGAGCAGCACAATAACTCAGAAGCATGTCAAATCATCTTTTTCTGACTGACTAGGACAAGAACAGCCCATAGAGAAACCCTTCATGTGAAATAACCAAAACAGTTTTGAAAAAGAAGAAAAGGATATGTTCATTTGTGACCCCCAGCGATCACGGTAAGAAGCTAATTGAGAAAATATGGTTTCAGCTGCCTAGAGATTTGTTTATCAATGAAGTGTGACCTAGATTTGTACAGAGCTGGACATTTCACAGCTGGAAAATAAACGTGTTAACTTGTCAACCTTCCTTTAAAATACTCTGAAAATAAGTCATCCTCCATCATTTTATTTTCAGCAACATTTTTGTCGACCCGCTTCAATAAAAAGAAATAATAATAACACAATGAAAGTTTTACATTTGATTAGAATAATGTACATACCACAGACTTACAGCCCACTTCATTGAATGGACAGGCACTCTTTGACTTGCAGGATTTGCAGTGGTCATTGAACTGAAGGTTTGGACAAAAAAAAGGACAAACGTTAGAGTTAGCAGACTAGCTCCAACAAACGAGAAGTGAAAGGATTCTTAGGCAGAAAGAAACTATGTAGTAATAAAGGGAATTCTAAAGCGCCATATCATAATAAGAAAGAAAACTTTCACTTTTCAGATGATCAATATGTGGAACTGTTTTTAATGGTATAATTCATTGTAACTTGTTCTATCTGTTGTTTGTATTTTTCTTATCATTAGCATGCATTTTGGGCTATTCTAAGACACGTTTGCATTGCTGGTAATGCTATATTCAGTATATATTCTATGTTTAGGTTCAGTATAAAGATGCTACCTGATCTGTCTCTTTATAGTTTTATTTTAACACACAGTAAAACTAAGAACCTTTGTTTAGAGAGGACATTATCAAGCATCACCATGCAGAGAAATTTAATACAGCTAAACTCCACATAGAAATATATATATGGAAAATTAAAGGGTAATTTCAGAACCAGCTCAAACCTTTTCTCTTGGGATCTTCTTTTTGCCACAGTCCTTGCATTGTAAGGGAAACTTCAGACAGATCTCATCATGGGCCTAAAATAAAAATAATAATAAAATCACAAAGGAGTAGGAGAATGTTATTTTGGGTCTTTACACTAGATAACCTCCATCTCTCACCTTGATCTCTTTAAAGTTAAAGGTCACTTTGCAGTATTTGCAGTTGAGTGTTCTTGCTTCACATTCTCTCTCATTATGTCTGTCCTTCTCCGTACGAAGGATTAAGGTTTGGCAGGCGTCGCACTGTACCCGCTCAAATTCACAGCGACCTTCATGCTGAGCCTAAAAATGGAGAACAGATCAATTATTATCACCACATTGTAACTGCCTGCCCCTATCCTGCAGAGCAGATGTGGCTGGTTTAATTTGTTCTTTTTTAAATCGAATGAAAGAAAAACAGCTTTATTGTTTTACAACATATTTGTGCACATATTACACAACAGACAGTCAAAACGGATCATAAAAATGCTTCTGACCTTTTGTCTGTTTTTATATAAACGATGATACGCCCTTGTTACTCATTGTCAAAACAAATGTTCTGCACAAGTGTTGTAACTGCCAGACACACCCATACATGTGAGAAAGTATGGTACAGCATGTACTGACAGTTGAAATGTGAAAAAACAAGCTGTTTAATCATGTATGTGAATATGTCCAGTGCATAAAAAAAAAATGGTGAAAGGTAACAACACAGTACACTTCATAAGTAATTATGACTAACCATTAATGTAATTATGATGTTTACAGTTGGAGACTCACAATTTAATTACTTGCTCTATATTACTGCTAAAACACAAATGATGAACTAAAGCAGTGAGATGAAGAGAGCTTTTTCAAACATGTGGCATGCTATTGGAAGATGAGGAAATAAAAGTAAAAAGTAGAAGTACAACAAATTAAGTAATGAAAAAAAAAAAAGGATGTTTTAGATTTAAAGCCGAGAAGTGTCCGAGAATTTTATAAAAAAGCCAAGAAATATACTTAAAAAAAAAAAAATGCCGGGAAAGGCAAGGGGCGGAGCTCGATGAGGTGGAGTTTATGGACCGGGAAATTATTCTCTTCCACTATGACTACCAACAGCACGCATGGAGCCACAGACCCAGAATAACAGGTAGGCTAGCCTGTTTTTCGCTTTGAGTGCTTTTCACACATGCGACACCGGCAAATCTCGAACTGAAAAACCAAAATGAATCATCTTTAAACAGCTTTCCAGTGAAATCCCTGTACTCACCACGGCACTCAGAAACCAGTCTTTTTTTCCAGCTTCGTAAGACCTAGTTTTGGGTGTGTATGGCTAGCTAACGGCAGCGCGTTCGTTTTCCATACAACAGTGACTAATACGGCAGCCCACAATGTTTCACACAAACATGTGGGTGTTAACACACAACATAGCAATCATTTGTTGAGTGGCGCAATAAAACAGTGATCTAACCAGAGCCACATTTGCAAAGCATGCAAAATAATCTAGAGCATCAGCCTGGTGTTCTCATTTTAAATGTTTCCTGCCATCACATCATTTTTAAATTTCCTGTCTATCTACATAAGCAAAACCACAAACAGACAAACAGCACTACAAACATCCTTTGCATTGGATTAGCATCAGGAAGTCTCTTAAATACACAAAGTAACTCACCCCACACAGACATATTTACAGTAAAAATAAAAATTGTGGACAGATGGCGATCATTCAAACGCAAGAACACAAACAGCTTTTATGGTTGTGATGGGGCTTTTTTTTATGATTATCCAAATCACAGTCTGTCTGAAGGATGTAGTTCAATGTCTAATCCTGTTCCTGTTTTACTGTCTTAACAGTAAGTGTAAAATCAGCAGTTCCCTTGTGAACTAAATCAGGCAGTTCCTTTATCATGTAATGGTCAACTAGCCCTCAAACAGCAGTCAAGCTAATCTCGGGTTAAATGTCCTTTTATGTCCTGGTACTTCCCCACTGAGTTATTGTTGTTAGCTGTGCTGGTAACATAGGGACTTTCCAGGCAGCGTGTTAAGTTTCACTTCCTGTTTCTCTGCAGCATGCAACACGACCACGTTCAGCCATAATGTGAGCTGAAGGCTTGAAGGGGAAAAAAAAAAAATAGACCCGGGAATACAGGATATGTCACAGGGTATGCTCTGTGCGGTTACTGATGGTTAAGAAATATAAACAAATACTGACAGCACTGGTTTGGGCAGAGTAAACTAACACTTGTACATGGTTAATATGGAGCAGGCAGAGACAAACACTCAAAGTAGAAAGCAGCTTAGTTAAACTTTATACTTCACCTCATACTCTTTTATTGAGCCTGTCCAATTGCAGCCCTGGTTCAAACACCTGGCAGGCAGGCTAGCTATTTCTCGACCGGCGGCATTGTCTGGAAATGCCTGGTGGGTGAGCAAAGAACAGACTTCAGTGATCTCACAAAGCCACTAATTGTAATAAAAAACAGACATTAAAGGTTGCATTGTGTGAGGTTGTGGTGAGGGAAACTCCGATCAGACTGTAGTCATGTATTTTTTCCTTTTGAACAGAGTGGGGGTGAGGGATGGTATACAGATTACAAGGAAGATGTCTCATATAAACTAACATTGGCTGCAAGCTGCATATGTCATAACGTACCTCATTACTATTTAAAATGGAGATGGGTTCCTCATATATCTCCTCTTGGCGGCAGGCTTCACACGGCTTTGGCCCAGAACTGACAAACAAAACAAATTTGTGACTTAATAGTAAAAAAAACCCCACATGGCAGGCACCAACAGTCAGGAAATATTTCCTACTGATCCATTACTGGAACAACTGCTTAGGAACATGGACCACAGTAGCAGATGAAGTGAAAGCAGTGAAAGAAGCTTGTAGCGCTGATATACAAATGCTGCAATTTGCAACCTGGATAAGTTTTGAGACATTCATGAGAAAAATGTATTAGTTTTTGCGAGGTGGGGGCCAAATACATGAATAACACACACACAAACAAAATACATGTGACATTATAATTATAACATGATGAATTCTCATGCGTAGGTAGTAGTGGTTTCAGAACATCAAAAAACCCTCCAGGTTTTGTGCAAGTTCACTACTACAGCTGCTATTAGTCGATTAATCGATGTGTCAACTATTATGTCGACGTCATCAATGTCAACTATTAAATTAATCGGCAACTATTTTGATAATCGATTAAACGCTTTGAGTCGTCTTTTTTTTAAAGAACGTCTAAATTCTCTGATTTCAACTTCTCAAATGTGAATATTTTCTTGTTTCTTTACTCCTCTATGCCAGTAAACTGAATATATTTGGGTTGTCGACAAAAGAAGACATTAGAAGACATTTTCCAACTATGTACATGTAAAACTTAACAAGTGCCTGTGTGAATGTTGGAACATCAGTAAAAATGAGACTTAAGTGCATACATGTTATATAGGCTTAGTTTAATTTTTTTTTGTTGCTGTATTTGGTTTTATGTATAGTTGTTAAAATGATTTTTATTTCCTGTATTGTCACCTATGTTTCATGATTACTGTCAAAGTATGATAGAAAAAAGAAGTGGAAAAGAAAACAATGGACACCTTAAGAATGACTCAGGATGATGGGTCCTTGTGATTCACTGACATCAGTATTACAGTCCGGTCAAGTGAGGGATGAGTCTGCACAATAATTTATATTGGGTGCAAAAAAATCCCCAGAGTCAGGCAGAGATAAGACAAACAAGATGTGCTGAAGCATGTCCGGTAAGAGGCTAAGCATTAGGAAAGAGGGGATTTGCATTTCACACAGTTGTAGGTGGTCTGAGGACCTCCAGTCTACCTGGTGAGCTGCTTGAAGCAGTGTACACAGAAGCGGTGGCCGCACTGAGCCTGCACAGGCTTCCTCAGCACCTGGAGACACTGCTGACATTTGTATTTATTCTCCATGGGCACTGAAAGCACACTGAGGGGGATTCCTGGTAAAGAGTTGGGACAGTCCAACGAGATTCGGGCCATTCTTCTCCATCAATCTGGTGCTATAACCTGTGAGTGAAAACAGACAACACGTAAATCACCATGTTTTGAGTTCCACCTGGTAATTGCTTACTGAATATTTCCAGTAGGTATAACTCTAACACCAATTAGAAGTGTCAGCACATGTTACACTCAGTAACTGAAAGTGCAATATCAGCAGCATCACAGCCAGACACAATGGTCACGGTACCACATATATGCAAATATGCAAATAACACCTTTTTTTGCATTAAATGCAAAACAATATGTAAAACCATTAGGGCTACAATGGAACCTGTGTGCAAGTAAAATACAAATGGCTAGTCTTCACAAAACTCTTGCCTTATCAACGAAACCTACATGAGATGTGTGCAAGTAAGATCTATTAGCGAGGTACTGAACTGTGTGAAAACAGACAAACTGATGACAGATTCTTCACAACAGATCACCATTGTTACAGTTCATGCCAAAACATAAAGCCGCTGATTACAGCACCGCCATGTGTTCGATTTGTCGGTGTGTTTTTCTCGAGCAACGACAGCGATTTAAAAAAAAGAAAACCTCCAGTTTTCCAAACGTTGTTGCTTGGGGACCGTGGTATCCAGCTATGTCTCAGGAAAAGGACAATGGTCTCAAGCTACATGCTACACTTGCACTCACATAGGTATGCCATTCACTACTCAAAAGATGGATTTTTTTAAATAGGAACTACACAAGGCTAATAATCGTGCTTGAGCTGCCATCTAGTGGTCGCTGTATGTTCTGCCCAAGACGTGGAGTACAACGCAATGCACAATGGATCAAAGTTGCCGTGGTCACAATATTTATAACAATGACCTTATTTGTATGGTATCTGTGTAAATGCAACGGTTTAAGCAAAGACTGTATAAAAAGGGTTTAGGTCATTTGAGTATTCCTTGCTGTGGTGCCATCTGGTGGAAGTATCAAGAAACACTGTGGCAAAATGAAGACGGTGAACATTTTTTTTTTTTTTTTCACGTCAGTACATCACGGATTAAATAAGATCCCAGAAGACCGCAGTTTTATCCCTTCTAGTAATGCTATGTGCTAGGAGGAACTTTTGTATCAAGTCTTTTATGGTAGCAAAGCACTGTTACGCTGCAAACAGAACGTGTCTGAAAGTTTCACAACTGGTGCAAAAGTCTACTCTGTTGTCTGTTGTACCAAGTATGTCCCACAACAATCAGTATAAAATTCAACAATGTCAAAAGTGACCTCAACAACAGGACTTTCTGCCTCTGTGTCAAACTTTAAAAGCTATGAACCACGACAAGGCTTACAACGCACTTGGCTGGTTATGCATGTTTACCCCTTATCAGGCTAATTTCCTTATCAACAGTTTAGCCAGAAGCATCGCTGCAAGGGACTGAACCTAAATTTCTCCAACGGTAAATGTACCAATGAGAGTCACATCATAGTGGTAATAGTAGACCTACTTTTATATAGTACTTTTTCACTTTCACGCCTTAGTAAACTTTCACGCTGTAAATTTAACTTTTTAGAAATGTATGTTCCAAGTATGTTTAATCTTATCTTATCTTAGTGCTACCTTATTTATAGAAAATCCCCTTATGGGAAAATGTGTGTGGGCTGTTTTCCTCATAAACAAGCAGATGTCATCATATACTGACATATTCCCACAAACCCACAGCAAACACTCCATTGGTAAATATGCACACGACTGTTTGTTCTCTGTCACGGTGCCTAACTGGGTTTAGTTTTACTCACACCTGCAGAAAATGGTATACTATGTGTATGCATACAAGTAGTATGCCACCATATTAAATGTCTCCGGAAACTGCAGATTTGCATGTCATGACTATCTAATCTTTGAAATCATTCTTCTTTTTTAAAGGCTGTATGATAATATGTAGTTTATCTGGTTTGAACTCTATACAGTGTGTAAGCCAAAAAGCTTTGAGCAGTGTTGTCTCCACCTTTTCATTTCCTTGAGTGAAAGCATATCTTAAAGAACTCACACATAACTTTTTTAAATATTCACTGTCTATCGAAATGCCAATGACAAAAACGCACAGGAAGAAGTTAATTTCAACCTTCTCCTAAAATTGGGTAGGGGTAAGGCTGCCTCTTTGCACTAGGTGGAGGTAAATACCATATTTTGGTATAATGCTGTAATAGGCTTACTCAATGTGCTTCACTGGTCATGAGAGCTTTAGTGGACTTTTTGTTGACTAGAAGCTAGGAAATATCTGAATCTGCTTTTAGGTGAACTCCCTTCTTAGCCTCAGGAAATCAAGTGGATGTTATGTAGGGAAGTGGGATTAAATGTTCCTGTTAGACCAAAACTTAAAAAAGATAAATGAAACCAAGCTAAAAAGTTCACTGTCCCCCACAAATTCATTCCAGTAACAGCACAAACACTGAAACCTCACATCCCTCACATCTTATTTATAATGATCTTTGCAGAATGAGTTATGATGTAAATCTCATGATCACAAGACTAATAGCTAGATCACTTGAATAAGTCCTCATGCCTATCATGAGACTTACATTTTCCCAAGTGAACTTATGACCAGTAATGTGTTAGCAGCCATTAGTAATAACAGAAATCATTCAAGCTACAAATACAACATTCATACTCCTGGCATCTTCTCTTCCTTTTTCATATAATAAACATTTAAAAGCAGTTGTGCTAAGATAAGGTTATTAGCTTAACCCAAACTTTTAAAATTACAAAGTATTTTAACTGTATTCACCACATAATATTTTGGCAAACACTTTACTGATACTGACATTTTGTTACCCTTCTATCAGAAGGAAATAATGTTGATGCATAATTTTTGTATGAGTCTGTCAAAAAATACTCTAAATAAATGTTTCCAATTTCAATGTGAAGTCACATTACATGGAGAGTGAAACAGAATTGAATTCTCTAGAATAATGATCAGTAATTATTCAGTTGCCTAACTCTAACCTAGATTACTTAATATCAACCTCAAAACAAACCCAGTTTAAGGCAGGAAGTGTCATTTCATTTCTTAGAAAAGCTCCAACCATGTTTATCACTGGAAACTCACACGTTTAAATTCTCTGAATCCCTATCTGACAAGTCACATACAAGTGACATGATGACTAGCCTAATATTTCTTCCCTGTTACAGCATACCGTAATAAAACTGTTGTTTCACAATCATATACGTTGTCTTTTTCCAGACCTGTCCAACTGCAACACAAAGGGTAACGTTATACTACTCAATAAATAAGTCATTTACCACTGTTAGTAACATGAACAGCCATGCAGTGAACAATGAGCCAAGCCTTAAAAGTACACCCAAGCTGTTTAGTTTATGCAACCATAGAAACCTTGAGAGGGTATCAATTAAAAATGCAGTGAAAACAATCATTAAATCAGCCAATCTCACTTAAAAAACTTTGCTGGTTTTCTTTGTCACACTCCAGTCCAGAAAAGACTAATAAACACACCAGAATCTTTGTACACTTTAGCTGAAAATGTCAGAAACAAGCTGAAAAAAAACAGCTGAAAATGTCAGAAACAAGATGAAAAAAACAGCTGAAAATGTCAGAAACAAGAGTTTAAGCAACATGAATGCAGTGATGCATTAAGCACAAACATACCTAAACACTGAAGACTGAGAAGTGATAAAAATAAAATGACTTTGGATTTTGAACTGTGAACATTACATTCATCTGGCCTTCTAAGTTACAGTTGTGGAAACTTTAACAATCATGTCTTTGGAAGAAGTATCACCAACACCAAGAGCTGCATTCTCAATCAAAACAAAAATAAAGACCACAGACAAACAGTCTTTCCTGACTACTTTATAAAGCTAGTTGTAGAAGAAATAAACAACCCCTGCTCTGTATGCTCCCTCTAGGCACCCTTATCCGTTCACCATGATGTTCTTGGTCAGTATTTGTCTTTTACTCCAACCAAGGGTTTCTAGACTAGGTCTGAACCTCGTTACGAGACTGTACTGAAACCAAACCAGGATATTTACTCACCGTGCTTGAAAAGACTGCCTGTTTGAAGACCAAACTAACCGAGTATTATATGCTACACCCACCCCCAACGCGTCAGCAGTCTATCTAAACTGGTTGTGGTTATAAAACAGCTGCACCCAGCCAGTTTGATTGTAGTCGTTATCTTACTCTAACGAATAATGTCTGCAGTTATTTATTTATCGTAACTTCTGTTTGTATTTTTGTTATCGGGGTAAAACAAGCAATGGAGTAACCTAGCATTTAACCTTACTTCTTGTTTTTTATGAGCTACACAACTTTAAGTAGCTAACGTTAGCCGTTAGACAGTGTTTTGTAACCCTTTTAATATGGGTTTAGCTTAACTAATTTACTCAGTTAGTGAACTGCTAAACTAGTCATCTAGCAAGCAGAAACACCAGCTCAGCTAACTAACCTTGGCGTCGTGTCTCTGCCGACAGCCTGAAAACGAAACAATTTGTCCGCTTTCGCATGAGAAGGGCAACTCAACCTTTAGCTATATTTACAATTTTACTGCTACATGCGTTCATTTTATGCATGTAAGACAGCCGCGGAGAGCGGAGTGAGTCATTTTCTCTCTTCAGTTTGAACTGAATAACCCCACCCCTTCACCAGGGCTGTCCCGGAGTAGAGAACTGGTGGACCAATGACTCATGCGCAGTAGCGTTTCACAATGTGGCTGCACGTAGCTAAACCTTTCCATCGGTTCAATCAGCGCCAGTGCGTTTTGCTCTCCAAAGGTATGGGTTGATATCGTCTGCGTTATTTGACAAAGCGAAAATACACCCCTACTTTTTAAATACATGTAGCTAGGTTAGATGTAAGATTAATTTAACAGTTTAATGTGGAAATTAATGAATGTCGAAGCCTAACGTGAGCTACCAGAGAGGGCACGGTAACGTTAACTTACACGAACCTCAGCTAACGTTAAATTGCCTGTGGAACGTTAACATTAGCTACCTTAATTTAGTCAGATAAATATCAGTAATGCGACTGTAGCTTAGCTTATATCAACAATTAGCTAGTCAGATACGATTGTTTTTCCAGGACAAGCTGTATGAAAGTTAGTTGTTTTGCCATAAAATCTTACAAGTGACATATCACATTCAGATTCCCCCCAAATACTAAACACTGTTTATGTTCATTGTAACCTCTTTCGCTGAAACATGAGCACACTCTGCCTCAGTCTTGGTCCCGTGACATGTGCTGTATTGTATACTACACCTGCATCAGTAAATTGCTGACTTCTATAGAGCACATCAGAGGTTTTTGCCTTGATATGAATCATTATCAATAAAACAAATGTATATCTTGCATTAGTAGATTGTCTTGGTCCAGCTGTGTAAATGTTCCTAATGTTGCTCCACCATTGTGTCAGCTGTGTGTCCCCACCGGCTGCACCTTAGTACCACTCAGTTCACAGACGCCTTCTATGATGGGCTGTATCCTGGACATATCCACACCACCCCCATCCAGAAAGCGCTACTGGCACTTGGGTCTGGTGTTGCTGCACTACAGAACCCCTACAGACATGGTGAGACTCGCACATCAGCATGGAGTGCAGGCTGCATTTGTTTGTGCTTTCCTTTTTCATCACATTTTCATCAAACATGCCTTCTCATACATATGCTAGCCCAGTGGTTAAGACTCATACCCTATAACTGCAACGCCCTGGTTTGACTCCGGCTGGGGACGTTTGTTGCACGTCAACCCCATCTTGTTCCCTGCCTTTCCTGTCTGTAGTTCTCCTACCCAAATGAAGAAATATGCCAAAAAAGCCTTCCCATGAAGAGAAAAGGATGTAGCACAGTCCAGTCAGTAACAACCAACTGTCAGATATGGAGATAGCGCTCATGATAGTGGTGCAATTGAAATCGCCTAAATTTCCAAACTTTGGAAATTCATTAAATACCAATCGTACCTGTTTGCGTGCTTTCCTACATGCAGCATAGATGTCCATTACTCTGGTTTAATCACAGTAAAACTAATTAAACTATTCATATCTTCTAAAGCTTCTTCAAATAAAAACAAACAACAAAAAGTCACAATGTTCATTTACTTTTTCTGAGCTTAAAACCTTACTAGCAGATGGATTTTGCAGATGAAGGCCGCAAAATGTGTATTAAAGTTCTGGAGAAAAACAAACAAGTGACCCTTGTGATTAGAACATTTAGTCAAACATCTGTTTCCAAGGTCAAGAATGAACCTTCAAGCTCAACTCAACAAATTTGCTTTACAACTTTTGGAAATAAATTGTGTCAAATGTATCTCTCTGCCAATAAATGCTGAAATGTATCCATCATGACTAAATTAAGACAGAGACTTGGTCGCGTCATTGCTGTTTTGGGCAATACTTCTTTAATAAGTATTTTATTACACAGACATGTTTATCACAGATTTTGTGGTTTTTATAGATTTTCACCAAATAAAGAACAAAATAGCACAGGACGGAAAAGGATGCAAGGGACATATTTTGTTGCTGCTCTACAACATTAATCTATCTGGTAGCCTTTCAAAAAGTATGACGATTAAACCTAATGTGATCCAGTCTGCAACTGATACTTGTGTCACAGCAAGCCTTTGTTTCACAGTTCATATTAGAGGAACTTGAAAGAGTGCTTCATCATATATATATTTTTTTAGTAAAATGAAACCAACTGTCGGGACTGTACCTGAGGTCCTTTTTCTCGTGTACATTTCAAGTACAGTTCTCAAGCTTTTATTCTCTGGAGAACACTGTTACTGTATATACTTCAAAAATGCCTTGGAAACAGTACTGAGAATAGCCTGAAACTTACAAGGAGGAAGAGAGCACTAACACCTGTCTTGTGACATTTAGTTTAGAGACTGCAGGTGTCTTTAAAGGGGTGACTGCTGACTTCTAGTCCTTATCATCAGTGGATCTTCAAACATGCTGGATCCTTTTTTGTAACAGTAACATAATTTAATAACATCTGACCCTTTCTGCTAGACTTGGGCAGTATCAGGGTGTAACGGAATACCAGGGTATTTAAAAATCCCAAAGTATTATTTGAAATAGCGTCAAAAACACTGAGACTCTCATTTCTGGTGGATCAGTTATATTGGCTCTTTATTTTCTGTGCGCGCAGTTCAGGTTTGAGTGCGTATGTTCAAATAATGCTCTGTGCTTTGACTTGTAACCTTAATGGCGCTTCACATTGTTGCTTTTAATAATCGCCACAGACATGTCTGAACCACAGAAACTACTGAACATCTGTTTTTACTGGCTGATTAAGACTCCTGTGATGAGTTAACTGACCGGGGAGTGCCCCTTTAAATCAAGTATCTAGGAAATACAGCTCTATTACGCTCTCTGTTTTAATACAAACTGCACACATTTGATAAGCCATAAAATGAGAATCCCCCATAAAATGAGAAAGTAGAAAAGTAATTTGGGGTAATCAAATATTAGATTGTAGGTTTAGAAGCAGCATCTTAGAAAATCTCCTTATAATACATTTAATACCATTTAACTCTCCCTACAGACATGGTTGCAGTGCTTGGAGAGACTACGGGACACTTAGCGTTGATAAAGCTCAGGGACAGGATGAGAAACGATCCCGAAGGCTACTCTGTCCTAACGTGAGTCTCTGTTCAGTAACTTGCTGACGATCGTCTGTGAATGAAATTAGATTTAGTCTCACTCGTTATTGACTGGTTTTTGCAGTGAAAGGCCCAGGATCCGGCTGTCTACACTTGATTTGAGCAAGATGGCGTCACTGCCTGACGGCTCTTTTGGGAGAGAATACTTCCGTTTTCTGGAGGACAATGTGAGCGTTCTCTGATATGCTGTAAAACTCCCTACAAAGAGATGTTATACTTGTTTGAACTTTTATTATCAATGAGTTCATCAAGATAAACGCATGCCCTCAGAATTCCCTCCTTTTTACATTTTTCTTTCCTATTCACTCATGCATTCACTTTCCTATTCTGTCAGCATGTGACCCCTGACTCGAGGGCGGAAGTGAAGTTTGTGGACAATGAGGAGCTAGCTTACGTCATGCAGAGATACAGAGAGGTCCATGATTTGCTGCATACCTTGCTGGGCATGCCCACCAACATGTTGGGTGAGTCAGGCGTTACCAATTCTGAAAATGCTACCCAGATAAGATATTAGACATTACACTTCAGACGAGGGCCATAGCCAGGATTGTAGATGGGAGTTCTTGCCCCACTAGGAGGGTTTGGGGAGATAACCCCTGAGAACATTTGGTTCAATAGTAGTAAAACTAAAGTACATATATCCATGCTTTTGGAGAGTAACAGTAATCAATGTGCACATCAGCGTACACATAGATGAAAATTGGTCTGGATCTTTCAGATTTTGCCCTTAAAAATGTTCTAACATTCAATACTCAAGTTCATCCAAATAATAAGCCATTATCTAAACGTTACAGATGGCACGACAGTGACAAATGTGTGCATAAAATATACTAAAACAAAGGGAGACGCTTTAGCTTAAAGATATACGACTGTTACGGCCATGACCCCTGAACTCAACATATAAATGTAAGACAAAAAAGATAAGTAAGAATTTATTTAAATAATATAATGAGTGTAAGTGCCGTGCTTTTTTTGAGGCAGGAACACTGCTTCAAGTAGCCTACTGCCCAATTTGTAATTTCGTTTTTCTGTTCCGCGTTGGACGGCCAGACAGGGTCGAAAACAATTCATTTTAAATTTGTGTGTCTCTCCCACGTTTTCCTTTCCAGCTGCCATTTCCTGCTTTTCAAATGTCTTCCTATGAATTGTTGATAGGAGCTTTCTGTTTGACAACAGACAAGTGGATTGATTCTGTATCACAATGAACTGGGCAAAAACGTTATGGTGCGGAGGAAAAAGTAATGTTTTACCAAAGGGTTTCACCACAGTAGCTGATTTTGACACACTTAACTGTTAACTGACTTTTGTTTTTCTCTTCTCCTTTTTTCCTTTATAATCTGGAAATTTCTTTGTTTCTCTGTCCCTGCTTTCAGGTGAGGTGGCAGTGAAGTGGTTCGAAGCTGCTCAGACTGGGCTTCCCATGTGTGCTCTTGGAGCTGTGTTGGGACCATTCCGGCTGAATGCCAGGTACAACATCAGCGCTTTTACCAGAATTTGAACTTCAGCACAATACTGGACCAGCAGGGCTCTGAGTGAGCTCTGTAGCAGTGTGTGTAGAGGTAGTTAGAGTGTCAGTGACTCAATAAAGTCTTTCATACACTCGTAGCATGGTCCCAAGTTTCGGTACACTCACAGCAACGAACCGAGCGGAGTCATTCGGGGGTAGGGCTGCAATTTTCAGTAGCGAGTCATCTGCTTGAGATCACCAATTGCTGATCTGATTGCCAGGTTGCGGTGTTTCGTTGCAGCAAGTCAGTGAAATGCCAGCATGGAAGAAACAGGCTTATTTAAGAGAAACCACCAGAAACATCTGTAAATGCACAATGCAGTGTTTCCGACAGAATTACTGTGTAACTGTGGCGCCGCAGAGTTAACTGCAATGCATTAGTTTTTCGATAAACATACGGCTCCGTTACGATGTGTTTGTGAGAGGGAGAGAGAGGGAGGGAGCAAGCGGAGGTGCTGAGCCAATCTATGCACTGTGCGCAGCTTCACAATGAATTATGATTTTATTCATATTAAATAGAATATTGTATGTGGCCATCAGCATTGATATTGTGGCGTGTCGTGTTGCCACAAATAAATCAATGAATGGGAAACACTGCCGTGGGATGCAGATAGCTACTGTTTTTATGTCATCTTATTTCTGATGGTGAGTTAGTTAAAATCAGATATCTTAAGATCAGCGCATGAAAAACCAATCGCTGATCATCCCTTCAGTCATCGATAAGCGATCCAATCACCAATAGGAACAACCCTACTGCAGATTGTTTTCTTGACTAACCGTTTGTTTTATACAAATGTCGGAAATTTGTAAAGGATGACCATCTCCAGCTAATCATTTCAGCTCTGCATTGTAGTCTTTTATGTATATTTTATGAATTTGGCTTCTTAAGTTACGTAGGCCCACAAGTTGGCACTTTTATCCTATACAAAACAAATGCAAACATTTAAAAGCATTAGCCCAACTCAGATAACATTGTGGCCTGGTAAATTCTAGATCAATAAGAAATGATTAACATATTATAAACATTGATTATGCTTTTGTCCAGCTCTGTAGTACCACAGAGGCGTAAGAGGAAACACTCCTGGTAAATGCTGTTAATTTAATCATTAATGCTTCCTTATTCAATAAACATGAACTTCCATGTTTTTGGGGAACTGGGCTATGGCTCATTTATTAAAAATAATAAAGATTTGTTGTATCATGCTAAAATGTTTCTTCCTTTTATCATCTTCCAGCCGTTTACAGTTGCTGTTCACGTCCTTGGGTCCTTGGGCTCTGCAGAATGGTCAGCGGTCTCGCTGTATCCTCAGCATCTTCTACGAGAGACGATGGGAGCAAAGCCTTGAAGACCTGCGACAGGAGCTCAACATAGAACCGCCTCCTGTCATACTCAGTGCCACTAAGAAGAAGAGCAACTGAAACTGTGTTAGCGGGCGAACCAGAAATCTTTGATGTACTTTACTGTGGAAGTTCTTTATGAGAAGGATATTATTAACTACTGAGGAAAAGGCGAAGTTTCATACTTGCATCTTACATGCTTACATCCCGATTGCATCTTTCATCATGTTAAGTCAGTTTTTACTTTGAAATATGAATCATCACTTGAGTGAAGTTGTAGGGCTCCTGGTCTAGGTTACCAGGTCATGTTCAGTCTCCATCTGTTGTTGAGTGTGTGACAAAAATACATTTAAAAACTGAATTATGTTTGTAAATACTCATACCCATATACTGGCGTGATCTCACAAAAAGTAATCTTTTTTTATATTCAATATTATAATTTATTGCAAATATTTCTTCAGTTGTTAAATTGGCTGTCAAATTATTAAGAAGAAGGGTTGTGCACCTGCAGTTGCATTAACACTTACTGTATGGGTGGGAAAGTAGCGGCTGTTCTTAAACAAAGTGCAGCTGCTACTGTTATCTGACATCACTGTTTTATCACTTACTAAATTCTAAATAAATAAATGCCTCTCCTTTTCATAGTAATAATGATGTTAACAGGAAGTCTAATTGTGTTCATTTTTCTAGCTAAAAACATTTTCCTGGTGAAAACCAAATTCAGGGTCATTATTTAAATATGTAAATGGTTAATTTCACAGCTCCGAACCTTTACATTAAACACCTGTTGCATCATATGTTTAGCATAGTTTTACTTTACATCCACATTTTGCTATAAACACTGCACAAACATAATCTGTGATGTTTACTTGGCACTTTTATGTATGACAAGTCCTAAAAGAGATAACATTATAAATTAAAATCAGGCCATTTCTCCACAATGGCATTTATAGGAAGATGTTTTTATAGACATAGACATATCTCTACTGAAATCACAAGAAATATCTGGAGTTGTAACATCCTGGGGAATCCACCTTATAACTTAAACATCCTGAAGCTACTCAAATCAATTCTGTCTTAATAGTAACATAACATTTCTTAGAAAAAATGACAATTTGTCTTAAAACGATCATTTATAAAAGGAGGTAATAACCGTGACGGTGTTTTTATGTAGGGCTGCAGTGTACTTTACAGTTAATGAACAATAGTGCTACCAGTGATGCCTTATTTCGATATAAATACCACTGATTATTGTGAGACAGTGAAGTTACTATTTCAGGTTCAGTGTTTCATTTTTCCAGTTTTGTCTCATCGCCTACTGTCCCCCACTCACATATTGTGTCTGGTATCAGAGGAACAAATTGTTCCAGGTCACTTCACACTTCTTAATGTCAGCATGTTGCTTTCATTGATAGTTCCATAACCCTGAAATAAAATATGAGTGCATCCAGTCTTTGTCTCTCACTGATGTTAAAACTAAATGTCAGTTCTCTTTATTTAAATTCATTCAATAGGTACCATTTATGTGCCCAATTAAAAGTTTGCTGTCTGAGTTTTTTTTATACAGTCTATGGTTTTGATGTAATTGTAAGTCCGTAGCTGTCCGAGGTCCTGGAATTACATTTTTAACTTTCTGACTTTGTTGATCAGACAGGCATCATCAAGAGCACACGTTTATGATGTCGGTTAATTTGATATTGCTGCCCTCTAGTGGTTGTCTTTGAAATTTTCTGAGAAATAGCAGAGGCGTTCAATTCTGTTCTACTTCACCTTAATGTGACCTTGGTAACAAAATTGGCTCTTTGTCGGATTTGGGCTCATTTAATAAAGAAGATATTTTAAAGAGAGCAGATAAAAGAGACACTGCAGCTCAGCTACTTTGCTAAATTTTATATAGTTTTACTGAATTCTGAGCAAGATTGATAACTGTTTTTGAGTTCATTCATTCCGTTGACATATCATACATATAATGCAATGCAAATGGTATTATTGTACTGTACTACATTGCCAAATGCACACAAAACAAAACTCTGCTGTGACATACTGTAAAAGCACAAACTCATTACTTTTCAGCTGTAAAAAGATGTTATAGCAAAGGAAATTGCAAAAATATACCTTGTGTATTCTTTGGACTGTCTATTGCAGAGTCATCAAATACAACAGTCCTGTACGTTAATGATTGGTTTACTGAGCATATAACAATGCAAAATGATCTGTAGTGAGTTTCTTTGACACACACCATTTAATAGTCCTCAATCAACCAGTATTTTCTATGAAGAGTCTTAGAGAAACTCCATTACACGATTCAACCTGATGATAAAAACAGTCATCTTAAAAATAAACAGCAAATTTCATTGAATAAAAAACAATCATTATCAGTCATACAAAATACTGTTTTAGGGTTTTAGCACTACTATATAAAAAGACAAAGAAACTGAAATCTAGAAAATCATTACAAACAGTAACAAAAAGAATCAGTATCTACTAATAGAATAAATAGATGGAGGATCTGTAGGGTCTCCCATAGGCATTGCTTCACATGTTAAGGTTTAATATATGTTTTTACTCCTATTTGATCTTATTCACTTTATTGTCTTTAATGCCTCTGCTCATGTTCTTTGGCCTTTTTCTCATTGTATCTGCCTTGTTTGTTTTATTTCTTTTTGTAATGCACCTTGTAAGAAAAGTGCAATATAAATACAGTTTATACAGTATGTATAGTGTTCTGGCAGTGTCAGTGCAGGATGGTGATGCTGCGGTCAGCCACGGCACACGCTGGCAGCAGCGGGGCACTGAAGGGATGTGTGACAGAGTACAGCACTGCAATGGAGTCCAGCTCGTAAAACACCAGCGTCTGACTCGGCCAGTCCAGCAGCAGGCCGATCTTTTGGGGTTTCCTTGCGACCTGCAGGGGCACCTTATTCCCCCCGTGGCAAAAGGAATAGTCCCCATCGTAGTGGGACAGCACCCAAGACTGACTGTTGTTGCCCAGTCGGGCCTCGTTCCCAGAGCCTTTGCGCTCCAGAGAGGAGTAGCAGACCCCAATCTTAAAGGCAGCACTCTGGCCTACCCCCACCACCCAGCTGTGGGTGCCAGAGGACATGGACAGTGAACCCAGTGCGTTGGGCAAACAGTCGAATCGTGCTGGGTCGTACTGCGGGGACTGGCGAGCTTTTTTGTGTAGGAAAGTCAAAGTGCAGAAGTCATCAGACAGGGACAGGAGAGGGCTCACTGTGCGCTCATCAAACTTTAAAGAAGACGATCCGGAAGCTGGGTGAAGAGGAAAAAGATGGATTGAATGTCACACTACGATACTATAAGCAAACATGTTTTGAGGCATTTTGAGAATTCTTTACTGTAATTTTTTTCTTTACTGTAATAATTGGTCGGCCACTGTGCTGGCCACTTCCTGCCATCCTACACACTATAACGCTTGTCCTCCTTCCAGATTTACATTCAACCAGCTCAGATATTAGCATGCTGCTTATACAAATCACTAATTATGAGTCGGGATGCCACTAACTATTATTTTCATTGCCGAATCTGTCTAATTATTTTCTTAATCCATTCGTTGTTTGGTCTATAAAATGTCAGAAAAGTGTGGAAAATGTTGATGGATGTTTCCCAAAGCTCAAGATCACGTCCTCAAATGTCTTGTTTTGTCCACAACCCAAATATATTCAGTTTACTGTCATAGAGGAGTAAAGAAACCAAAACATATTCACATTTAAGAAGCTGGAATCAGAGAATTTTGAGTTTTTTAAAAAGATTACTCAAACTGATCTATCGATTATCAAAATAGTTGGCAATAAGATTAAATGGCTGACAACTAATTAATTAATCATTGCAGCTCTAATAATGATTAAATAATATATACTGTAATATTGTAACACTGAAAGGAGCCATTCTGCATAATGAGTACTTTTACTATTTTGCTGATAATACTTATCCTTTACTTGGAACTTTGTTTGTACCTTAGTATTTTTTACATTGTAATATGAAATACTTTTATTTCAGTAAAGGATCTTTCACCACAGAATAGAGGTTAGAAAAAGACTATATCACTTTTCTCACTGAAATGCTAATACTAATCTACTTAAGCATTGTTAATACAAAATAAGCCCTCCTCCAAACTCCCTGCTTTTGATTAAAAAAACCTCCCATTTTCTAAATTTTCAAGGTTTGCAAGTATGCTAATTACCATCATCGGTATTATGTAATAATGATCCTGCTGGATCTGCAGTGCCGGCATGGTGATCGAGGATGCTTTAGTTGAGTATAAATGTACTGACCGTTTGGGCCCAACAGTACTGCAGTGGCCCACAGACCTCTCAGCAGCTTGCTGTCACTGCAGCCTGGGTTCAGGTTGAGCTGGTCTGTGTCACAGGGCTCCCCAACCCCCTCTGCTGCCTCCACCCTGACACAAACACCCACAAACAGGAAAAGGAGACAAGATATCATCTCTCTGTTATGTCCTAAGCAAGAAAAAAATATTTTCACAAGCAAGTCATGTGTTGAAAGATTACCTTTCAGCTATCTTCTGGACACTAGTCTGAAAGACAAGACAGGAAGAATGTGTAGTTAAGTAATTTATTATCATTATCGAAATTCTGCAATTTGAGCACACGTTCCTCTATTCTTCAGAAACCTTCCCCCTCTCACCACCAGCTGTGCGTCCTGCATGTCTGTCAGCGTGTGCACCAGGTGGGAGCGTGTTTGCGAAAGACTCTCCAAAGCCTGGCTCCAGTGGGCTCTCTGGGTGAGGAGACACTGCTCCACCCGCTCCTCCTCCCTCTGCACCTCCTCCAAGAGACGCTGCTCCTCCTCCTCCAGGGCTTCGCGTGCTGCGCTGACCTGAGCCAGCACACGCTCCCTTGCCCTGCTTGCCGCTGTCTACACAAAGAGACAGGAGAGAAGAAATATTGGAAGACTTGTGGTGTAGGAGGCGAAATTACATGGTTTTGAATCAAACTGCATAACATCATTGTGACTATAGTGAACAGGTTTATTATAACTTTTACGTTTATAAAGCCTATACATGTACGTAGTGTTTCTAAATCTCGAGAAGGCTTTTTCAGCAGGAAACTTGTGTCAGACATGTTACAGATGAAATACTTTTCATGCTTTTGATTTAAAACTTAGGGCTGCAACTAAGGATTGTTATAATTGTAATAATAACGGTTTTATCTACAAAATCTCAGAAAATCTTTGAAAAATTAGATAACGTCTTCATGTTATGATTAGCTGATATGACAATACATATAAAAATACAATATTAATGAGATTTTTCCCTACAGTGGCAGGTATCTCATTAATATTTCTGGGTAACAGGCATTGTATCCATCACCCATTCCTTCTTAAAAATGTTTGTTTTGACCAACCAGCACCCCCAAAACCAATGTATATTCAATTTACCATCATGTAAACAGAGAAAAGGAGGAAATTGTCATATCTGAGAAAATGATTAGCATTTTTGTTTTGAAAATAATTTACACAATTTATGTTGGTACAGCAACATATAATACACATTGGTTTGGTGATTTGATTCTTGCTTGGAAAAGGTATTTACAGATTTTTCTGCCTTGGTTGTTTGCTTGAGGTTTGTGTTGCTTATGGTAACTTGTTGCCTAGAAAACTACACATGCATGACCGTACCTCTTGTGTTCAGGGAGGTTAATAAATACGCATGCACTGAAAGGGGCAACCTTTGCTTCTCTGCATGGTGGTGATAAATTGACTGACTTAAACACAACCTCTATTTCAAGGTATACTTGACTAGTGAACATATTGTATTAGTGGTCGACTTATTTGGCTTTTTCAAGGGCCGATGCCGATATTTAGAGAGTAGGTATGTAGGCATGTACAATTAATGCATGCAGAGTACTATCTAATATACATGATTAACTTTGCCAGTAACATTGTTGTTTTAGATAGATTTTTTTATTAATTAATGAAATAGAAAAAAAACATTGGGTTTGTTGTAGATTTTAGAACGTGACTGTGTTTAAGGGAGAGCGGGGTACGGTTTGTCAGAAGTGACGTCATTGATGTGCATTATTCTCTACAGTATAACAATACATATTTAATGCGAGCCAGTAAAGGTTTTAGATTAGACTTACTGTCAATTAGGATATGAGAAGCACGTTAAAAAAGACGATGGTGACTGAGGACATTTATGGCTTGAAACTAACTTTTTCACCACCTTCCCAAAAGTGAAGTTGTGGAAAAGACAATTCCATCAGCTGAGAAAGTTGTGATACTCCCTGATTCAAAAGAATTAAGATTTAGAAAGCATGCTCATCATACTGACATTATTTTTTTAATGAATTAACGCATGAGCACATGTAAAGAAACATCTGAAGTGTTGTTTTTGTTTTTTTACCTGATGATTTCTATCACAATTTCTTCTTCTTGCTGATGTGACCGTAACTGTTTCACATACAAGTACTGAGACGGTTAGTCCCATAATCGATTAGTCGATTAAGTTATTTATCATTCTCCTTCTCAGTTCAGTTCAATTCAATTCAGTATGCTTTATTGGCACGAGTCTATCAAAGACAATATTGCCAAAGCATCAAGCAATAATGATAGTAATCTCTCTCCCTGTGTGTGTCTGATCACGTGCAACTATGTGTGATTATACGCCCCATTATATTTGTCTGTGTTGTGACATCAAATAGTCTACAGATTAGTTGTTTAATTAATGAAAACAATTCTTTAGTCACAGCCCTAATACAAAGACACTTATCATAGGGTCATCAGTATGCACATGCACAAACCCAACGAATGGGCAGTCTCACGTGACTTTTCTGTAAAGGCTAGCCAGGCAATATCAAAACATTACTTGTGAAACAGTGGCTAAGCTGAGAAATGTGTATCATACTGTGTACTGTGTGTCTGGGTGAGCATTAGTGGTTGAGTGGGTGGGGATCAGTGGTTTTTCTCACCTGAAGCTTTTGCTCTTTAGCTGTCAGTGTCTGGTTGATAAACTTTTCAATCCTCAGTGCCTGCAGCTGTATTTTCTCACACACATCCACCAGTTCATTCTGGTGACAACACACACATAGAGCAGTTGTTGAATAAGCAAAATACACCTGAACATCACCAGCTGGAGACACAAGAAATTCCTGTCTTTTCTAATACCACGCAGAGGAATCAGCGAGAAAAACCTCTTGCAAAATGTGGCACACCCAAGAAAGAATTATGTAGACATTAAGTAAAGATATTAAACTGTCAATGAACACAATTTCCACACATTATCAGAAGCTCACGTTAATGAAGCACAGCTACCATCCTAAAAAAGGTTAGGCCTACTGGTTGAAATATGCAAAATCTATAGACAACTTTCTCTTATGAAAGCTTTTCAAGTATATGAGATAAATGGGTAAACAACAGTAACATATAGGGCAAATAAAGTTAGGAAGGCGCAGACAGTTAAGTAACCTTAGAGAAAGTAGGCCTAACCTTCCTGGGCTAGTTCTAACCCTGCAGGTAAAGAAAACATTGTAGTCCTATTTACTCTACATTTCCTAAGTTAAAAACAACTCCTATCATGCCACAGCTCAGTCAATGCATTAAAAAGAAGCAAACAGCTGTTGTGTAGGCTACACAACCCACGGCACTTACTTCGCACACTCACCCTGACTGCGGTTACTCTGGTGGCCAGTGGGGTCACAGTGTGTCCTTGGCAGGGGCCCACGGTGGCGCAGTGACAGCAGATGAGTTTCTGCTCGGTTCCACAGAACCATTCTAGCTCGGACTCATGCGCCACACAGAGCTCACGTTCAACAGAGAAGATCCCAGACTCTGTGTCGGAGGTAGTCCCAGCGGTCGGGGAGGTCGCGTCCCCCGCCTGCTGCTTCACATCGCCGCTCAACGCGGAGAAAATAGGCTCCTCACAATCCATCCCCCCCGTTTTCACACAGTTTAAAGTCTCCTCCGAGTCACCCGATGAAGACGAGCTGGCTAGGTCGCACGTTATGAGCTCCTCGGTCATGGCACAATAAGGCAACAGGTGCACCGGCAGAGCTGGAGTCGCACCTACAGCACAGCGCTGTAATACAGGTGTAACAGGTGAGCGAAACGCGGAAGTAACGCGGACTTCAGAGGTCAGAGCTCAGAGAAAAAAAGGGTTTCGCTCTACTGGTTTTCAGTTGTATGATTTAGCTTGCCTTAATTTCCTGTTTCTGTCCTCGTTTTATGTCTTATTCATGCCACTTTTTTAAACTCAGATTTCCTGTGAAGCCCACAGGGGGAATGTAAAACTCAAGTAGCTACTGTAGTTTAACTATTATGAGGTGGATTGTACTTTACACTATATTTTAGTGGGAATTTGTACTTTTTATTCACAATCAGCCTTGATTAGGCTAACCTACCTAAAGAACAATTGCAGATTTTGACTGAAATAGGTCTGAGTATATGGCACACGACATTAATAAGAATATTTTTTTTTTTCCCGATATCGATATAGTTCACTGTTAGGCATCTTCAGTGCGATTAAATGTGCTCCTTTACTTTTTACATTCAAAACAAAAACTTTAATTCTTTATTTTGTTAGTTTATGATTACAGTTTTTTTTTTAACTCATCACTTTAGACAACATACTTTTGCAAATGTGATTTTACTGATAGCCACTTTTTTGAATCATTTTGACATAGTTTTTTATTATTATATAAATCTGACACTCAAAAATCCATTACTAGGTAACGTTGTGAAAAAACTGTGGAAGAGTATAATTAAATTTTCCAGGGTGGAACCCTGTACCCAGGGATCAGAGGTGCGGCCACATCTCACAGACAGATCTGTTTAGCAATAGTGAGCAACACCCACCATCTGGAAACGCTCTTTAGTCTAGGAAAAATAATCTCTAAGAAAACCAAATATACATTAAGAAAGATTGCCCGCCCTTATAAATGGCCAGACCTATTCATTTAAATTGTTGTTAAAATGTTTTTTTTTCTAAAACACAAAATATATTAAAATAGCTTACACAGTCTGATACTGGTAAACTAGTAGAACTGTGATAGTGTTAAAAAAAAATGGAATCTTTTGCCTGTGTTTTCCTGGGCATGTGATTGGTGAGAAACTGGAAAAAGAAAATAATGTAATATGCTGTTGTTCTTTAGTAGGCTACTTGATATATTTGGTTTTAATTTTGCAGTGTAACATATTGTTTTACTGTAAATTGAGCAGCTTCTGTGCCCTATTCTAACCATATGCTTTGTTCTCACCCATTACTAGGGCTGCAAATAATAACTATTTTCGTGGTCGACTAATCTTTTAATCTGTTAATTATTTATTCGATTAGTCACTAGTCACGATTATTTTTGTCACCCCCTAACCCTAACCCAACCATTTAACTAATTAAATATCTTTCAAGTGAATTACTGATCTCAAACACACAGCCTAACTAGCTAATAGTAAGTGAACGAAGAAGACAAGACAACTTCGGTAAAACTGCCAATATTCAAATTGTACACAGCTGATTTTTAGCCTCAGAACCGCTCAAAATGTATTTAGTGATTAAATAGCGTACAAACAAAAGCCGCTCTGCTGTTCGCCTCTTTCTACGTTACTTTCTTCTGCTTCAAGCGTGAAAGCTTCTTCTTCGTGAGTTGTGTCAAGTAGTCATGGGAGACAGTAGAAGCGATACTGCCCCCAGCACCTCCTGTAGTGCATTGCAGTTAGAAATAAACTACAAATGTTCCTAATATGAAGATTGCTGTCTCTCCCTTAAACGGCATCTATGTAAAGATGCGTTGTTTTGTCGATTACGTTGCCTAATCGCTGCATCCCTACCCAATACCAATATTAGAAGTTTCCATTTAACTCTGTCAAGAATCCTGAAGAGGAAAATGTGGGCAAGAGGTTTTAAACAAAGGTTAAGTAAACATGTTTGTATCCTCTTTACAACCCCTTCCATCCTATCACCTTTTAAAATGAGCATAAATTATATACATTTTGTTAAACCTTTATCATGTATCATATATCTCTTGGTAAGTTTGAGAGGACACAGATCAAATCTCAAGATATTCAACCAACCTCCCACTCTTCCCATTTCCATGTCTTTGTGTAACTGGATAGGAGTGATGGACAGATGAGAGTCATGCCCACTGGCTCAGACAAGGTGGGTTGCACATTCACTTTGAAATGAGCACAGCAGAGACACAGGGCTGCCATTGTCTCCAACACAAGAAGATGTTTTCTAATGGGTAAAACTGGTAAACACGAGACATCCAGGTATTAATATCATGAGACGAACAAGGGCTTCCTGTGCACTAAGTCTGTTGTGTATGAAAGAGCTAAATCCATGAATACATACAATAAAACAAAAATATTTAATAATGCAAATGGAATTTGCTAAAATAAAATTACACCCCTCTCTCTCTTTTATACACCCTGTTAAGGTTAAAATAAGTTCCACCAAAAATTCTCTTCATGATAATTTAAAGTCACTCTGGGAGCAGCATGTTAACATAATCATAAATACAATAGTTTTGTTTTGTTCTTATTGATTATCATACACCATTCATCTCTTTTACAGAAAATGCAATAATAGACTTCCTTTCAAATTAAAGGCATCTTAAATTGGAGAGCAGGAGCAAAGAGAACACAGTATAGCACAAAGCTACAGTAGAGGGAAGAAGTCAAGTGAGTAACATACATTAATGGGATAAGACTGCATACAGATGGGGAGAGAGAGGAGGAGACAGGAGCTCAGTGCATCATGGGAAGCCCCACCCCCCGGCAGTTTAGGTCTGTAGCATCATAACTAAGTGATGGTTCAGGGATTATCTGAGCCAGCCCTAACAATAAGCTCTATCAAAGAGGAAAGTCTTGGGGCTACTCTTAAATGTGGATATGGTGTCCGCCTCCCCAACCTAAACTGGGACCTGATTGCAGAGGAAAGGAGTTTTATAGTTGAAAGCTCTGGCTCCCATTTTTACTTGTGGAGACTCTAGGAACAAGATGTATCCCTGCTTTCTGGGATTGCAGATGTGTTGGGTTGGGGCCTAAAGATGCTGGTAAACACTTTAAAGTGCAGCGTCTTGTGCTTCTAGATGAAACTGTATCAGGCCCTGGAGATTACTTAGAGTAATGACTGCACATCACTATAGCTTCTTTGATAATGAATCATCCTTAATGGCTCCATATTCCAAATGTTACTCCTTGGGACGCAAGGGATGCATTCCTTTTATTTACTCTCCAATATCCCATTATCCAGGTGCTGGTTGTGCTAAACTACGATAATATAGCCTCACATAGTGGTTTGAATTCTTTTTACATTTCTTATTGTTATCAGAATCTGTTTAAAGTTTATTAGTAGCAGTTTCACTTTTACAAATTATAGCCTTGTAGTAAAACCAGCAGAACTGGTTTTCATCTTAGTTGGCTACATTCTCCAGTGTGCTACCATATGAGCATGAGAGTGTATGGGGATGAAATCAAATGTGGTACATTTCTTTAAATGGATGGAAATAAAATGGCTATTCAACGAGACAATTATTACTGGCTTTACAAAAGTCAAAAAAATTAAAGTGAAAAATATAGTAAAAATATAGCTGAGCGGAAATGATTGGGATCCAAGCAAGTCATGAAAAATGCATTTGACATTTTCACAGAAGAACAGATGCAGACAACTTAAGAGATTAAAGTGATGAAAGAATTCAGACTTAATTATTAATAATTGCAGCAACACAAACTTGATTTTTACAGCATCACCTGAGATCAGAGAGTGTCATTATACAGGTGCTGGTCATATAATTAGAATATCATCAAAAAAGTTGATTTATTTCAGTAATTCCATTCAAAAAGTGAAACTTGGATATTATATTCATTCATTACACACAGACTGATATATTTCAAATGTTTATTTCATTTAATTGTGATGATTAAAACCGACAACTAATGAAAATCCCAAATTCAGTATCTCCGAAATATGAATATTACTTCAGACCAATACAAAAAAAGGATTTTTAGAAATGTTGGCCAACTGAAAAGTATGAACATGAAAAGTATGAGCATGTACAGCACTCAATACTTAGTTGGGGCTCCTTTTGCCTGAATTACTGGAGCAATGCGGCATGGTATGGAGTCAATCAGTCTGTGGCACTGCTCAGGTGTTATGAGAGCCCAGGTTGCTCTGATAGTGGCCTTCAGGTCTTCTGCATTGTTGGGTCTGGCGTATCTCATCTTCCTCTTCACAATACCCCATAGATTTTCTATAGGGTTAAGGTCAGGTGAGTTGGCTGGCCAATTAAGAACAGGGATACCATGGTCCTTAAACCAGGTACTGGTAGCTTTGGCACTGTGTGCAGTCCTGTTGGAAAATGAAATCTGCATCTCCATAAAGTTGGTCAGCAGCAGGAAGCATGAAGTGCTCTAAAACCTCCTGATAGACGGCTGCGTTGACCTTGGACCTCAGAAAACAGGGTGGACCAACACCAGCAGATGACATGGCACCCCAAACCATCACTGACTGTGGAAACTTTACTCTGGACTTCAAGCAATGTGGATTCTGTGCCTCTCCTCTCTTCCTCCAGACTCTGGGGGGGTTGGTGGAGGAGTGTGGTGGCAGGCTGACTGCGAAGCACAAGGGGGAGCCGAGAGGGTGCCATGGAAGACGCCTGAGGGAGACGTCTGAGGGGAGCCCAGCCGATTCGACGGTGGACGGAGATGAGTGAACCTGGGGAAAGACAGACAGGCAGGCAGACAGGGTTAGTAATGGGAAACCAGAGAACGGAGAACAGAGATGTGGCGAGATCAAAAAGCTAGGGATGGCACGCTCGATACGCAAGTGACGTGTCGACGCTGTGTTGAGATCCCGAAGCACAGACGTTTCGAAACACTGCTCCAAAGCGTGGTTCAAAATGTCAATGTCACGTGACCGCAGTGAAACGAGGCTTCAGTGCGTTTCACCCCTGTTTCGACAGGTGGCACACCTGCCGCTTCTACGCTTGATTCACAGTGTTTGGAACAAACTGCACATCAGCCTCTAACTCATTTGACAGATTTGTTCCAAGGACTGACAATAATTTGATTTATGCTGTAGTATATCCGCACCTGTAGGCCTAATGGCAAAAAAATAT